CATATTGAAGTGCACAAAAAAGAACATTGGAAAACGATGCTGAGTTTGAGAGGACGTTTAGGACATTTCGTTGCTTTTATTTTGCGACTCGTTGACAATGTGCTGAATAATAAAACAATTATCCTGCTCAATCTTGCGGAATATCATGTGATTGTTCGCGAACTCGGCCTACGCCTACAGTCTTGTCGGCTAAGCGGTATCAGGCGATATTCCGCGCGATTTTGCAGGGATAATTGTTAAATATTGCACCGCTTATTATATTGCATTGCCGGCGCCGGGTACCACATACAATATTGTATTCAGCTATGTTATCGGTAAGGGCTTTTTGTTTTAGATATACAGGGGCCCAGTAAATAAAAAATATATTACATCTACTTGAAAAATTAAAAAAATATTAAGCTAATTAAGGGCCTCCACAGACTAGAGAGATAGTTGTCGACAACTATTTAGTTGTCGATCATAAAAAGGTGTCGATAACAAAAAAGCCAGTGTGTGAAGCTAGTTGTCGATAAGTAAAGCCCTTACTTATCGATAACTAGCTTCACACACTGGCTTTTTTGTTATCGACAACTTTTTATGATCGACAACTATCTCTCTAGTCTGTGGAGGCCCTAAAGAAGCTAAAAAATACGTGAAAAAGTTTTAATAAGCGAAAATTTAGTAATACATATTTCAATATGAAAATAAGTGATAATAAACGAAGTTTCGATGTCCTCTTGACTCATTTTCAAGTTTGAAAATGTGTTAATCACTCTTTTTGTTTTATAAGAATCTATGAACTAAGTGTAGACAAATGATGAAAGATACAAAAGTAATGGGCATATAGTGATATTTTACTGAAATACACATGTACTATGCTTTGTAATCTAAGAATGTATTAAGAATATTTTCAGCCTAAAATCGGCAGAAAAATAAGAATATTCAGCCTGGGCATGAAAATATATAGATGTTATAACTGACAAAAAGATTATATAGCTAATTTAACAAGAGTGTGAATGGTTGTAAAGCCTAACTTTTTAGTCTGAACTATTAACATTTATCGCATGCAATCATTCACACCTCAGTGTTTAGTATAAATTAACACAGCAATCCATTATTTTCAAACTTGAAAATGATGTCAAGATGACATCGAAACGTCGTTTATTATCACTTATTTTCATATCGAAATGTATAGCGATGTTTCTCGTTACGTCACCCATTGTTATTAATTTGCCAACCAGAGAACCATTGGCTGTTGAAACAAAGAGTTCTTTTGTTTAATGGTTGGCAAATTTGAATAACAAAACAAATTTGACGTAATGTTGATAAGCAGTGAACACCGCCTATCACTAAAAACGTTATGATAAAAATAATTTCTTTGCTAGGCGGCAGAAAGCACGGTCTTTGTATTGTCGGCGTTTTCTAAGTTGGCAGGAAGTTCATTATCATATGTTTTGGTGTCACAAATTTCAAAAATAGTTTATCTCTGCACGATCTTATTGACACGAATGTATGTAAAAGAAGGCGTTTTAAGACTTTTAAACATCAGTGTTTCATTCCTTCTTCATGTGACAGTTGCTTTACACTGAATATTCCAGTTTGTGAATTCGCTTCTGTGTTTTTTTTTCTAGTATCGTACGTTTGCGAAATGAAGGAGTTATTGTTGCTTCTATGTCTCGCTTCGCTCGGGCACAGCGAGGACATACAAGTTCGACTACTGCAACAATGGCCGAGTGGCTTCAAAATGAAGATTAGCCACGTCGTGTCTCAGAGCGTTACAGGAGGCTGGAAAATGTCCCTCAAGTTTTCAAAGCCAATAGGTCAGCTGCAATTCTCACAGGCTGAACGGGTGTCTGCTAGCAAAGATAAGAGAGTGTTCTGCCTAAAGAACCGACAATACAACGCAGATCTTCGGGCTGGATCAACGTTGGAGTGGGATTTTATCGGCTACAAGACCAAAAACAACGAAGCAGCTCCGTCGGCAACTCTAGAGCTTCACCCAGGGAGGAATGCCAAATGTGATATGTCCCCACCCCCCACGATCATTCCGCCTGGAGCGACCCCTCCTGTGCAAGAAACGTCTACCGCAGAGTTGATTGAAGAGTGGCCGACTGGATTTAAGATGAATATTAATATTCTTATGCAGCAGAAGGTGGAAGGAGGTTGGAAAATGACGCTAAGGTTCCCCATACCTGTCAAGGGTTTCAAACACCGAAAGCGCTGAAGAAATGGAGATCTAATGATCGCAAGGTGTACATACTAGAGAATCGACCTTACAACTCTTTCCTTGAAAAATGTGCCAGGCTTGAGATGATCATTATTGGAAGGAAGAAACAGAACTCTGACGCACCAAGTGAAGCCGACATAGAATTCCGCCGTAAAGAAAACTGGAATGGAGGAGGTGGAGGAGGGTGCGTTCCCAGTACTACTCAACCACCAACTCAGCCACCGACTGAGCACCGACTGAGCCACCGACTGAGCCACCGACTGAGCCACCAACTGAGCCACCAACTCAACCACCAACTCAGCCCCCAACTCAGCCACCAACTCAACCACCAACTGAGCCACCAACTCAGCCACCAACTGAACCACCAACTCAGCCACCAACTGAGCCACCAACCCAACCACCAACTCAACCACCAACTCAACCACCAACTCAACCACCAACTCAGCCACCAACCCAACCACCAACTCAGCCACCAACCCAACCACCAACTCAGCCACCAACTCAACCACCAACTCAGCCACCAACCCAACCACCAACTCAGCCACCAACTCAGCCACCAACTCAACCACCAACTCAGCCACCAACTCAACCACCAACTGAGCCACCAACTCAGCCACCAACTCAACCACCAACTCAGCCACCAACTCAACACCAACTCAGCCACCAACTCAACCACCAACTCAACCACCAACTCAACCACCAACTCAGCCACCAACTGAGCCACCAACTCAACCACCAACTCAGCCACCAACTCAGCCACCAACTCAGCCACCAACTCAACCACCAACTCAGCCACCAACTCAACCACCAACTCAGCCACCAACTGAGCCACCAACTCAGCCACCGACTGAGCCACCAACTCAACCACCAACTCAACCACCAACTCAACCACCAACTCAACCACCAACTCAGCCACCAACTCAACCACCGCCCCCTCCATACAACTATGACTCAGTTCTCCACGACTCCATTTTGTTTTACGAAGCCCAACGATCAGGTAAACTTCCTCTTTCCAACCGAGTTCCCTGGCGAAAAGACTCGGCGCTGAATGACCGCGGAAAGGATGGTGAGGATTTAACTGGTGGTTGGTACGATGCGGGAGATTATGTGAAGTTTGGTTTCCCGATGGCGTTTAGTGTTACCATGCTGTCATGGGGTTTAGTGGATTATAAAGATGCTTATGAAGATGCTGGCGAGTTGAGCTATATGTTGGACAGTATTAAGTGGCCCTTGGACTACTTCATGAAAGCACACATCAAACAAGACGAATTTTATGGACAGGTGGGTGTTTTACTGGTTTTTTTTTACCGGCCAAAAAAAACAGTGAAAATAGAGACTTAGTTAATTATCGACTTAAAATTGATAAAGGTAAATAACTGCCGTAGCGAATTTGGAAAAGCTGACGTTTCGAGCGTTAGCCCGTCGGAGCAAAATTTGATGGAGACTAACTGGTCAGCTGGTAAAAACATTTTTCCTTTATGTAAGAAACACGTAATGTTATCATTTTTCTGGGTCATCAAAATCAATTTCCTCTTGTCCCGGATGTTCAAAGAGTGAATAACGCTATCCTGTGTGTGAGTGTTAACGAACCCAGACTACTCTATCCACTGGATAGTGATTTATCCTTTGAATAATCAGGGCTTGGGATTCATAAGGTGAATAATTGGAAGGGCTGACACTCGAAACGTCAGCTGCCGAAATCTCAATACGGCAATTAATTTCTCTTTTCAACTCTGTTTGATAATTCACAAGTGCCGGTTTCACTTTCCCGCGGATGCACACAGCAGTTTGTTTAGAAACTGATCTGATGTCTTGTCCCTTCTATTTAACAATTAGATTATGAGATCGAGATTTCTATGATGTGATAGTTGATGAGGCCGTAGGTTTAGTAAAAAGCATAACAATTGTTTCAGTAGTAATAACCGCTCTAAATCCTCCTCCGAAACTTCAGAGAAACGAGAAGAAACCGCAATTTTGTAGACGACCTCCAGTCACTACACACTAATGACTGATAGTATACGAGTAGCTCAGCCAATCAGATTGTCTCATTTGCTTTAGTATACTAGTAGATTTTTACTGATACGTATAATTTAGGTTGGTGATGGAAACGCCGACCACGGCTCCTGGGGCAGACCAGAAGACATGACGATGGCTCGACCCGCCTTCAAAATCTGTCCAAAGAAACCAGGATCAGATCTGGCCGCTGAAACTGCCGCAGCTCTGGCAGCTGCCTCCATTGCTTTTAGATCTTCAGATATCAGTTATTCCATGAGGCTTCTTCAACACGCGGCTGAGCTGTACGAGTTTGCAGACAAACATCGTGGGGTATATAGTGATTCCATTCCTAACGCGGCGGGTTTTACCGCTCGGTCAGTGGGTACAAGGACGAGCTGGTCTGGGGAGCAGCTTGGCTGTACAGGTAAGGTAACTGCTTTGGCTCAGCGTAAACGTCTATGTTAACAAACTTGTATGCTGGGCTCAACTCTATCTAAATCTGCGTCTTTTTCTATTAAGTGAAACTTCGATCAATTATGTTTTTGTCAAATTGTCAAAAATGTGCCAAAAAACCAAGTAGTTTTAAAGTTATTGACCTCACAATTTCAATGATAGGTTTCGACATTGCCAAGAACGAATTTTGACGTCACAGGAATCTGATTCTGTTTATTGATAAATGTTTTACAGGTTTGCCCTAAATGTTTTTCATCCACATCATTGGGCGAGCTGTAATAGAATACCAAAAACGGGAAGGTCTACTAAAGTATTGTGAGCCACCTATTAAATGGTAGTTAAGGTAGACGCGGTGGCCTAATGGTTAGCGCGCTGGACTCCGCCAGATCGAGTGGTCCGGGTTCGAGCCCTGGGCGGGGTCATTGTGTTGTGTTCTTGGCCGCAAGACACTTAACTCTCACAGTGCCTCTCTCCACCCAGGAGTATAAATGGGTACCGGCAACAAAATGCTGGGGGGGGGGGGGGGTAACCTGTGATTTACTCTCATCCCATCCAGGGAAGTAGCAATACTCCTAGTCGCTTCATGCTACAGAAACCGGGATAAGCTCCGGCAGTTGTGGGCCACTAGGCTCGTGAAGACTTTACCTTTAAGGTCTTTCAGCGTGCAGGGAACAAAAACGTTGTCCGTAATAATGCTTGAGGCGTATGCATTAGTTGAGTTTCCCCAACTGAGTGGTGTTCGACTGTATAAAGTACACATAAGAGACCTAGAAAGACTTTGAACACAATGCTGTCTTTCCTTTAAGGGCAACGCAAGATCAAAAGTACCTCACAAAGGCCGAGCAGTACTACACAAGCTTTGGCATGAACGGAAAACCCTGGGCATTTTCATGGGACGACAAAAAGGCTGGAGTGCAGGTCCTTATGGCTGAGGTTACAAAGAAAGCTTCGTACAAGCAAGCTGTGGATACTTTCATAACGAGCTGGCTGCCTGGTCACGAGGTACACTACACCCAAAAAGGCCTTGCGTGGCGAGATCAGTGGGGCCCAAACCGCTACTCGGCCAACACAGCGTTCTTGGCACTAGTCGCCGCTGACCAGGGAATAAACCCGACTACGTACCGCGAATTTGCGAAGAAACAGATTCATTACATGCTGGGTGACAGCGGGCGCAGCTTTGTGGTAGGATTTGGTACCAATCCGCCAGAGAGGCCTCATCACCGCAGCAGTTCCTGCCCGCTCTCTCCAGCCCCTTGCGGCTGGAATAACTACAACAGCCCAGACCCCAACCGCAGACTTTGTACGGAGCGTTAGTTGGAGGCCCGGGTAAGAATGACGAGTACAAGGATGACAGAAATGATTACATTAAGAACGAGGTGGCGACAGATTACAACGCGGGCTTCCAATCAGCTGTTGCAGGACTGAAGCACTTGGCTATAACAGGAGAACTATAAAGGAGAAATGCTCGGGTTATTTGAAGGTGTTAATAAAAACCTTTTCACCACTTTACAGATACTGCAATGTAGTCAACATTATTAGATGGGAATAAAAGTGATCATCAACTAACATAATTTCATGGTCTTTTTGATTGAAATTAGAATAAACAAGGTTTGCTGTGACTATTCTTAATACTCACAGAGTGGTTTTTGCTTTAAACTGTATGAAACACAAATTTACATCCTGAAATTTGACATTACGCAACTTTTTAGCCACAAATTAACTGCAAATGAACAATGTTCGTAATATTTTTTTTTCGCGATATCAAAACATTACTAGCTCTTACGCTGTCTGACTCAGTCGTTTTCTGGGAAAATTTCATTTGCACGCGCTCCAAACCTGATTCCCTCTTCGTGGAGCATGCGCATACAAGATTCCGTCGACCCTATTCTTAGGCTCAGTTCCAGCCGTGGGTGTTTCGGTGCGCCCGCGATCCTATCCACTAAGAGGATCGCGGGCGCACCGAAACACCCACGGCTGGAAACTGAGCCTACCCTATTCTCAGCACCAACCGAAAGTAAGGAAGCGAGAAGAGCGGTCGATGGACGATGAATCGACCATAGTTTATAGTGTCCCCATTTAGTGGTTGTTAACTGCTATTTCAGCTCTCAAATAAAGGTTTTATTATATTATCATTATTTATCGAGTACGGATTAGCTACTTCAGTTCCATTGGATCGAGGCTAAAAGCCCTGGACAAACGGAGACGCAAGTTTTGAAATATGAACTTGCGCAGTGCGTAGCAGTTTTGGCGGGAACTGCGCGCAGTGTGTAACAGTTTTGGCGGGAACTGGGCGCAGCTGGACTGGAAGACTTAGAGAAAGAAAGTCCCGATACATCAGCCCAGAACTTCAATGAAAAAGCCTTGGAAAACACCCTATCTTAAGTGAGCAGTTGCGAAAGAAAGCCGGAAACAAATTTCATCCCTATTTTCTTCCGAACAGACTACTTCCTCTCAAAATCATGGCGTGAAAGAACCCCCCTTCCCCCCTTTCCCCTTTCTCCTAAAGAGCAGTCAAATTGAATGCATGAAATAAGAGAAGTACTGAAGCGTAACAGTACTAGTTTTATACACAAAATAAAAATTGACAAGAGAAAAAGTAAAATATGAAATTAACACTCCGTGTGCTTACTCGAGGATATACGGTACTCCACTAATGAGGTAAAACTGGAGTCAAATGTTATGTTTTAATCCCTTTATTAATATTCATTTCATCTACCAGGAATACAACAAAACAATCAAAGTTTTCGTATTTTCTTTGGCAGCAAATCTGTGAATAAATTGGGAACAAAATATTCATCAGTAAGTCAGTCAGTTTGAATTGTCAACCGCGGACTGAAGTTTTAATAAACCTGAGCTGTCACGCGGTAAAAGTCTCTGGTCCTTAAAACTGATTACTGATTAAAAATCTGCTAGTATACTAATTGTTTTAGTAAAAATCATAACAATTGTCTAGTATTAACTCTAAATCTCTAATGCAAATTAGTAAAAATCTACTAGTATACTAATGCAAATGAGACAATCTGATTGGCTGAGCTATTCGTATATACTATCAGCCATTAGTGTGCAGTGACTGTAGGTCGTCTACAAAATTGCGGTTTACAATTCTCGTTTCTCCGAAGTTCCGGAGGAGGATTAAGAGTTATTATTAGACAATTGTTATGATTTTTACTAAGACGATTAGAATATTTGCTCTCAATTTCTATGACGTGATCATGATAGTTGAATCGCTATGTGGCATCATCAACTATCATGATCACATCATCTAATCAGTTTGACTCCGTTGTACAGTCAACTCTCGTTATAGCGGACACCCCTCGGGACGTAGTTTGGAGTCCGTAATAGCGAGAGTCCGCAATAGCGGGAGTCATTTTCAGTCAAACCTCTATAGCTTTCGCCGGGTGGAGGGCTGAATTTTGTCCGTAATAGCGGGTGTCCGTAATAACGGGGTGTCCGCAAGGCGAGAGTTGACTCAGTGTACTTACCTTCAGCAGACGTTGCATGATCTCTGGCAGAGAGGTTTTACGAAGCCGTAACGACAGTAGCCTGATCGTTTCCAACTTGGGCATTGCACATTTGTATCCCTGCAAGCTATAATGAAAACGAACAAACACCACAGACCTGTCAACTTGTATCACCTTGTGACAATAACTGAAATCTAGAGATGATTTTCACTAGCGACATAAGCACAAGCAGCATACGCAGACGCAGTAACGTGTTGATCAGCAGTGCCTTTTGTTCTGTTTTGTTCAAACAAAAGGCACTAATAATCAACACGTTACTGAGTCTGTGCATGTCTGCTTGTGCTTATGCTTATGTCGCTAGTGAAAATCAGCCTTAATTATGCGACAAGAGGAAAAGAAGACTGAGATCTTTGATGAAACCTACAGATTCATTCAAAATTTGGTAAATCTATTGCAATAATAAAGAAAATCTGCTGCTCATGTGAACATTAATCAAAGTGCTTCACACAGAGCGAAGCATTGAAAAGCTGCCAATCAAACCTCGAGGCAAAAACATGCATCCAATAGGTCATTTCCGAGTTCCTTTGCCTCTTCTTCAAAACGAGTCCAAGTGCCAAACCTTTCCATGATATGAGAATGAGTTTTACTCACAAGTTCATTTTTATGTAACCTCAACTGATTTGCACAAAGACTCGTTTTGAAACAGAGGCAAAAGTCCTATTCAACGATTGTAAAATAGTGGACTACGATTTACAGAATATCAGAAATGGAAAAAGCATGATGAAATTAGACTGCCAATGTTGGGACCATTGAAGTTTAGTGCGAGATTTTCTCATCTGTTCAATCCAGTCTTTGTTTTATGTCTTTGCTTTGCCGCTGCTGAAATGTTTGTGAACCGTGTGATACATAAATTGCATGTGTTTTGTATTCGCTAAATCCCTGATCCGCACAATATCTCAAAACATATCATTCCCTTCATCACATGCAATCATCCAATGCGGATTTAGAATCGTTATTGGTGAATTGGTGAACCGGAAATCATCATACATGGACCGTTTTAAAATAGCGATGCAACTTAGCAACTTACATCCACCTCCATTGCCATTTGAGCCTGCAAAAGTAAATAATGATCCTGATTTAGTTCTGAGAAATAAGTGAATAACGTACAAAAATTATGTGTTTTATCGTTTTCCTTTTCTTAGCTTGGGGCCGGACAGGCGGTCAGGCGGGAGTTTCTAGTATGCTAGAGCGCAAACGAAGCACGAGACGGGAGAGACCAAAGAAAAGTTTTGTGGAGGTTGTGCATCACTGACATCAGTTGTTTGCTTCAGGGCTTTCAATTTGGTACCGCTTGGTAAATTTGGTAAAATAAATAAATTTGGTAAATTTAAACTTGGTAAATTTGGTAATCTAAAATGACCACCGTTCGGTTAGAGTTATCCTGGTACTTTTTAGGATATTAAGCCGGGAAAAAATATGATAGGAACTAGTTTTGTCTTTGAATTGGTACCTCTATAACGGAAAAAATGAATCAGTTCGAGCCACATCCACAAAAGAGATTTTGGTATCTGGGGTTCTTTTCAAAATTTCCGACGATCACCCCCGTCACTTTTATATGGGAGTCCCACCCAGGGGTACAGCCTCAAGTTCTTTGCTTTTAAAGCCAACTCTATTTTAGCCTCGTTTGCATTGAAAGGCTTCGACCTCGCTACCAACCATACACCTGTAAAACAACTTACCGTACAAGGATTGAATGGCATCGATATCATCCTGCGTCAGCGCCATGTTTGCTACATATCCAGTGTAGTATGGATACATGATAGCATCCCTGACATTTGAATGACGGATACCCAATGAGTGACCGAATTCGTGAACAGCAACCCACAGAAGATTTGTACCACGTGATGTACCGTCCGTGAAATATTCATCCTCGTCAAAGTGCGCGCGGCCATCTGATGGGT